TTTTTTTCAGAATCACGTCGCTTTTCACCCTCTCTTGCTCTCATCACTTCTCGAAGAAGGCTTTTTGAGGTTTGGAGTTATCCAAAATGCCATGCTCTATCTCCTTGCAATGACTTGTTCACTTGCTCTAAAGACCCTTTCCTTGATTCGCCCGGTCCGAGATGAACAAAGGTGATTTACATTTGCAGGCCACTGAAAATCGCTTGCGGAGGACGCTTTTGATTCACTTAAGACTTCTATTGGACAACAGCCTTCTGAGAAGGCATACAAAGCATTGTTTCTCATTGAAAAGGAAACCTTGTCTGTTTCATTTGTGTGCAGCCCGTTTGACGCCTCTGTTGAATGTCTCTCGAACATCTGGTGCGATGACCGAAAGGCAATACGCTTTAACTCCATATTTCTGTAGGTCTTGCGTAAGAAAATCGAAAATCGACTGTTTTCCTTGAAGTCGGCAATGTCAGCAGTCCAACAGACAACTATTTCCGATTTCAACTTCAAAAATGATTTGTTCACCTGGATCGGCTAAATGTCACAGCTTCTTGGGTCGTTGCCATTTTTCGGAAGAGAAATGCCATAAAAGGTATTTCTTTTTTCTTAGAGAAATATCAAGTTGTTTATGCTTGGGATTGAATTCATGCCTCATAAAAATCACGTGCACTTGTCACTCCCTTCAAGACAGCAGTAATTGCGAAGAGCTTTCAGCATAGTTGCATTTACAGTAGCGTTTTTAACTCGTTTTAACAATGGTTGATTCGGTAGTTTTCGCGGCCGTGATATGAAAATAGCAGAAAAGTCACCCTCCGTCCGTTCAACTTCTCAGTCACTGACAAGTGCGCTAGTCTCAGTTGCAGTGCTAAAAAACATGGTAGTTTTTAGACACTTGCTTAGTTGGGCCAAGGTGCGAAGTTGGTGTCGTTACAACACTTGCCTCGTCGCCACAATGCAATCAATCTTCCTCCAAACCTTTACACTAATTTTTACGATCACATAAAAGTACACTTAGCGTTAGTCGCTTGCTGCTCTGCATCTTGTCAAGTCGATACATTTAACGAGTCAATGAACTGTCAGGACGGCAAAATCGAGTAAGACTTTATTAGACAACAATTAATTGCCAATGTCAACGGCTTTTCTGCATTTTACACGGCTGATTTGGGCGTTTTGTCGTCTTTTTTCGGCTGGAAGGCAGTTGGAACTGTGGCAACACTGAATACGGCCGCTCTTCTTTTAA